TCTGATGATTTTCTGTGTACCCCAGATGTGGGGGAAAGGGATGATGGAGAGAAGCCGGTGAAAATCAGGTTTTTGGGGCGCCCGCTTTCTTTGAGCCAACTTGCCTCACATGCACGGCACTTCCCCTTGGCAGTTCCCAAGGTTGCAACCTTGACATCCCCATCGGCAAGAAGAAAGCTTGCAGACTCAACTTTTAGAGCTTGGAGGGATTCACGAGGGATCAACCAACCACGAGCCCTGCTCGGGGTTGGTCCGCCCCTGGCCCTGACCAACACACAAGGATCGACGATTGGTGTTGGGTCCTTTGGATTTACTTTTCTATTGACCAGCGGTCTGTGCGGATCGGGTCTTTGCCGCATTTTCCACAACCATGGTGCTTCTTATTTCACCCGGGCTAAATGTTTGCTAGTGGCTTACTCCCATAATCATCACATAACCATCACAAGTGTGGTTTTAGAGTAACCCCCCCCCCCCACCCATACCCATTCGGCCTATCTAGGCCTTTGTATCACTTGGTAAGTGGTGAATATATAACCCCTGCGTTCTCGCCCACCCCCATTCTCTTCATCCATCGTTAAAAACAGCTCATTGTCCACCGGATTTTGCCCGTGTGTTTGAAGAGAAGGATCCCAGCGAACGGGGAAGGTACATCTAGAGCTAGGGGCAGGGTACTTGGGCTTGTCAAAGAGGGGGAACCCTGCCAACCAACCAGAGAATGCCGGGCATCAACCGATTTTGACACACACACACACACACACACGGGCGCGCGCTCATTTGGGCTTTCAAACCCGAAACTTGCCTACCCAAACCCGCCAGGAACCGCCCCCGCCCCAAACTGTGGATTGGTGGATCGACCTTGGGACCTTAGAGGTTCCTGTACGATTGTTTACTCTTTTTTCAAGAGTATAAGAAAATCAAATTGTTTTGTGTTGTTTCCATGTTGGAAATACGCGTTTTACATTTTTAAGCACGCTTTCGCCATGTGTTTCCATGTGATCAAATACGTTTCGTTGATGTTTTGCCCAGCCCCCTGCTGCCTCGGCCTGGGCCCCATGGCTCCCTGGCTCTGGTGGATCTGGGAGTTTTTCCATGGCTCCTTTCTCTGTCTCAGCCTTCCGATCGCCCGCTTGTCCTGTCTCTTGTTTTGTGTTGTTTCTCCAGTGTTTCCATGTTTTGAATACGTTTTTTCGCCATATGTTTCCACCACCCCTGCTCCTTTTCGGTGTTTTTCCCGTCCGCCAGGACTCGGAGCTGTGCATTCCAGTGGCGCCGGTGCTCAGCGAGGCGGTGATGCACCGATACTGCCGGGGGCCGTGGGACTGTTGGGCCGGGGGCTGGGCCGATGGGACTGGTGCAAGTGAGGTCCAACCCTGCCCGCCCCATGTGCGTCCATATGGGTATGGGTCAAATTCAACCACCAGGGAACCGCAAGTTTTAGTCCGTGTTTCCATTTCCCAGGGTACCTATTTTTGACCCACACCCATATGCTGAAGAATATTTGCAAATTATATTCTATTGTTGGTTTCTTTTTTGGAAGCTAGCACTACTGGACATATTTTATTGTGTTCTTCCCAGGCGGCTTAAACAAATGGAAGTGTGTACTTGGATGTTCAACCAACTTGGTAAGTAGGCTGTAAACAACTTAGTTTTTGAATGGGTGGTATCCAAGATTATGACTGGGGTGCATGGGGTTAGTTCTCTTATGGCTAATTATAATCAACTTATTAAGTATTTGGGGGTTTCAACAGACCTCAAATGTTGTTCAAGTGAAAGGAGCAACGGATTTGTTTTCAACACTGGGCATTTGAACAGGCCAAACGGCCCTGATGGGGTCTGCGGCATTGGAGGGCTGAGGTGATGGCTCAAAGCTGCGCCGAAGGATTTCAGCCCTGTGGATGGACAAACTCCTGCACCAGGTGGTGGTTTGTCCCAGTTTTTATAGGGTATCCATCCCGACCGGAGCAGGATTTCGTCCATCCAGTGTATTGAACATCGCTTCTCAGCTGCTTTCAGCAAACACGCTGCGAGGCACAAGGCCAATTTGCTCGCTTGCTCGCATCCAGCTACTTTTACAGATTTCGTCAAGCACTTTTATGATGTTTAGATGATTCTTTATAAGATCCCCACGCAGGCAGACACGTCTCTTGGGGTTACTCCAACCTTCACACCGTCCTATATACACTCATGACTCAATTTGGTTTCAAATTACCAGACCCCACATAAAAAAGAAGGAGAAAGAAACACAACAACAACATTCTAATTTAGCCCCTTAGAGCAGCTACATTGGAAGTTGGCAGACCCTGTTGCTTTCTGTTTCCCCTTTTGCTGTCTCATTGGAACATGGCTTTCTTATCCATCATGCGCTCTCACATGCCATACGTTCCCTTAGACTTTTAGTTTAGAGTTTAGGGTTGGATTCATATATTCCACTTTCAAGTTTCCCATTTGGCAAGAACTCCACAAGCCACTAAGGTAGAAGTGAATCAACATTGGTTGGTGAGAGATATGGCCATGTGTCAAAACTATTGGTGTTTGCCAAGCTGGTTGGTTTCATATTTGTTCCCTTTCGGCACTGCCCCCGAGCTGATCTCACTTTGTTGTCCAGCAGGTTTCTGGTTTCAGTTTGTCGACATGGCTTCTTCCGGTTCCAGTTTGGAATGAGATGACCCGAATCGAGCCGAAGCATCCATCTGGTTTCCTGCAAGTTGGATTTGGGCTTTTGGTGCCGAAAGCTCCCCGAATTTGATTCGTTCACCGACCAGACGTGGGTATGGGTCGAAATTAAACCACCAGGGGACCGCAGGTTTTAGTCCATATTTCCATTTACCAAGTTTCTTTGTTAGACTCCTATTTTGGACCCACAGCTACATCGTCTCGCCGTTCCGAGGCGAAACGCTGCAGCCCAACCAGCAAGCCGATGCCAAAGGCTGCCATGACAGCTTGGAGCCTGGAGTTGACAGACGTGTCAAAGGGAACCTCCAAGCGTGCGAGGCCGTCTTTCCTTTTGGGAAGCCCCAGAAGAAAGCGCCCCCTTTCAGGTTGGTTTGAAGAGAAATCAAAAGGGAAACCGAACTTTTTCTTCTTCTTTTTTTATTTTTTTGGGGGGGGGCTATTTTGGCACATGCCTATTTGTAAGTGAAACCGTCATCTATTGTACAGGGCATGACATGGATCACTCCAAATTACCAAAAGAGTATGTGGGTTGCCAGTACTCACCAAGATTCCCATGTCAGTTGGGAACGCAATATATACTGACCATGGCTCATATCTAGATCATCAAAGTACCCATAAGTAGCAATGGGAGATTGCTCATTTTTCTGCACAGTACCTTAATGTGAGATTGCTGAATGTTGGCACACTTTAAATTATTTGGTCAAATGGCATGAGCTCATCCTTTTGTTGTGAAGCGGATTGGTGACTGAATGGGGAGCCGCGACTGAATGGGGACGGGACCTCACCGCCATCGATCAATGACCCAACGCCCCCGGATTCATCCCTTTGAAAAGCGAATGATCCCCTCTCACAGAGACACATTGATCAATCAAGGGTTGATGAGTTGGCTCCGTGTCTGTCAAAGGTATGAACCGGGTTGGCCTTTTCTTCAAGGGTGTAACCCAAACAATCACGGAATAAAGAGCCTAACACCCGCTGTGAGGCCCCGGCCCCTTTCTGAAGTCTAACTGATTCTGGGGGCTCAAAGCAACACATCCCAACCTGCGGGCCTGCCATCCTTCACGTCGGCCTGAGGCTACACCCCCTATGTGCAACGGTCCTTGGCCAACAAGATGCCTGGCCCTCAATCCCGGATGCGAGCTCGTCCTGACCGATTTGAGCGCGCGCTCTTCTGGGTCCTTTTCCGACCAGAACCACACAACACCATGGCAAATGACGGTCAACTCGGGGATTTCCTTGTTTCCTTGCTATATTTGGAGCATACACAAACACACACGCACACACACACACACAAAGAAAAAGCAAGCACACATCCACCAGACCATCTATGAGTGAAGAAGCCCCGATTTCCGCAAAAAATCTTTTCGGGGTCCATTTCCCAGTTGGACACACTTCCCTAGATTCCTCTATACCCACTTGGTTTGTGGCGGCTCCATAGATTGTTCTGAAACCGCTACTCATTTTTTGGTGGGGTTCCAAGTTTCACATTCATCAGGAGTGTAAACAAACATATTTTAGCGCGTTGTGCAATCCTAGCCGAGCCGGTGGGTCGACTCCAGGTTTGCCCATTGCGGCGCTTGGTGCCTCTACGACTTCGACCATCCGGAGCCCGGGGTCAGATGGGTCCGATGTGTGTCGCGGGACACCAAGCTAGGTCCCCCAGTAGTGCCCTTTTACCCCTTTTTGGGGGAGGGTTCCCCTACTAAAATAGACTACAGAAAAAGGGTACCCTTATTCTAACCTCTCTACTGGAGGACCTAGCAAGAGGCTGATTCGTTTTGCGTGGCCCACGCTTTCAAAGAGTGCTTGGTCTGTGTATAGTCTTTTGACTATCTGGGAAAAGGGGCAAGCAGAGCGCGAGCCAGGAATTCTGGGCTCAGGTCTCTTTGCCTCTCGCAGTTTCAGCCTTCATTTGTGGCTTCATCTCTGGGGCCAGACCTCCCAAAGCACCAGACCCCTTGCCTCGAAAGCGTGGGACTTTTCGGGATCCAATGGGACAAGAAGGCTTCACCCACATCAAAGGGCGCGGAACCAGGCAAATTAGTCGAACGGTACCTTCGAAGTGTCGCTCAAAATTTGGGACCCAGGGGACTGCAGTTGGAGACTAAATCATTGCCAGAAGTCGACTTCAGACATGGCTTTTTGATGGTTTTAAACTCGTCCACAACCCCCTGCTAGTTTAGGCCCTGATATTCTTTTCAAAAAGGGTGCGGAACTCAATTAGTCTACTCTTCAGGTCGCGCCCGCAAAGTTCTTCGTGGCAGCTTTACCCGTGCCTTCTCACTAGAGGGGGGTTAGTGTAGGGGAGCTCGGCCATGGTTGCAAAATTAATGCGTTTTCGAGGCCTTTTTGTGTTCTGCCAAGGGAAGCAGCGCTTTTTCTCAAATTTTCTGGGACCCTCCCCCTTAAAAATGGGAGCTTACCCTGTTTTTGTTGGGGCAATTTCCTATTTTCAAGGCTGGAGATTCCATCCGGAGCTGCAGAAAAGCAGAATTTAGCTCCACAAATGGTTTACTCCTTTACTTTGGCAGGTGGGGCCCTGGGCGTTATCGGGGTTGGTGTTTCGATCAGATGAGGCATGTGCCGAATCGGGGGGAGATCATCCTTTTGGATTCCCTAGCGCCATGGCAGCGCCATGGCCATCCTTTTGGTTCCCCTTCAGAACCGATCTTCTTGGCGCCCCAGGACACCATTTCGTACGGCTGGGACGACAAGCAGAAGTGCTGGCTCCGCGGTAGCCCTGGCCTCAGGATCGCGGCCTCAAAGACAATTCGGGGAAGTGAAGGTTTGTGGCTAGCTAGCCATAGGGTACCTTTTTCTTTCTGGAAACGAAGAGGAAAACCACCGTTTTGGGGGGGTCCCGAAAACGACATACCCAAGTAGGTGCATCATCATCCGGCTTGATTCTTTACCTTGGTTTAGCTTTGGGGAAATGTCTAAAGCCAGTGGGGGTCCACGTCATGTCGTTTCTTTGAAGGGGCCTTCCTTCAAGGATGGTGTGTGTTATATTTGCTAGAGCTTCTGTTTTTTTTACTAGGGCTGGGCCCGCCTGATGGATTGATTGATTGCTTGGTTGGTACCGCCAAACAAAGCGTAGCTTTTGCCAGTGCCCTGGAGGCTTGGGACGTGCAGAAACCACCGCCTTTCCCGATAAGGATTTTCAGGGCATTCGGTGGATGGAGAGGAGTTCCAGGGCTGTTGGGGACACCACGGGGTTACGCAGTAAAGAGTAAACCTCGTTGAACGGAGGTTTATACTCGCCAAACACAGGCGGCCACGCGGGTCAGAAATACCGAAACTCCACCTATGCAACGGACTATGTAGTTCCTCTTGGTTTGCCTTGAAAGCATTTAAGGGGACCCTAGTTTGAGGCAGACCCGAAATTTGGGTCATTTTCAGGTGGACTGTTAGCCCTGGAGGTGATACACTTGATTCATTTATTGCGCTGACCAATCATTTTTTTGGGGATTGCTCACCTCCACCCCAATCAACCCACTTGCAGGGGTTGGCGTGTCCCGAGTCTTTGGACCAACCATCACTGGGAAAACAGACACACCTAGTCGGCGAGTCGGGACTTCGCGTCGACGTGAGGTTATATGTCTAACGCGTGCACTGCCTTGCACGCTGGCGCTTCAGCTATCCGAATCGATTCGGCCGAGGCGGGTGCCAGTACCACACCGAGCAGAAGCTGGCAGTGGCGCGGAAAGCCAAGTTCTGTGAGGCGAGCAGTTGGAGCCCTTACTGGCCTGTGCGTTCGGAATGACCCAGGGTTTTGGGAATGAACGGTTTTTTCTGAAACGAAACCATAGGCGGTTGTTTATGGGGGTCATTCCCTCATTCCCTGCTACAAGTTTATGGGCGCGTCTTGTTTTCGACTCCGTTTATGTATCACTGGTTTGATATGGGTCCTTTATTATTTGGGGGGAATTGGACAGTGACAATCACAACGACCGGTTCGGAGGCAAAACAAGTGATTTGACACACGGAGATATGATCTCCATACACTAACGTCTATGCAAATTCCCATCTTTGGGCTTACTACTTAAAAGTTGTTGCCTCCCCAACTACAGTTGGGTGAAAGTATGTAGATGGCACAATTTCCCATTTTGGTTTGGTCATCCCGTTTACTTGTCCTCACTACCAGGAATTGTGCCGTCTACTTTCACCCTGGTGTAGCAACATGTCAACTTTCACCTCATGTTGTTGAATGGACCTCAGCTGAAATTGTGGACAGCCGCGTGACTCGCGTGAGGCGGAGCTTTGCATCCCAGTGCAGAACACCGTCTCAGAGACATTGATGAAGCACCAATGCGTCTCGTCTGGTAGAAACTCTCAAACGAGCCATGGCTTCTTGGCCTTTGCCTGCTGACACTGCAGGCTTTGGGCTTCAAAATGAGAACGGGAATGCGTTACACTATTTGAGGGTACCCCTGGTTGTGGTTTTAAAGGGGAATCAAAGCGGAAAACCACATTTTTTTCTTGGGGGGGTCCCTAAACAATGACCCACCCGCATGGTGGTGGAAACTCGGGTGTTTGGTTGTCTCCTTCTTTGAGGGGCCAAGGGCATCCCAGTGAAAGTGACAAAGTAGTCATGGGGAAGGGAATCCGTCTGGTATCACAGAAACGGTGTCGCAGCTGAAGTCAATGCCATTTTTGCAATTTGTATGCGCGTGTGGTTTAGAAGGGGCAACATCGTCATGTCAGACTAGTTTGTTTGGCCGGCACTTTTGCCCTTAAGCACATGATTTTGTTTGTTTGCTTAGTTGGTGTTAGAACAACCAGATCACGGCAAGGTAGAGGGGAGTCCCAAAGAAGGGCTTGTATATGGGAGGGAACCAACAGCAAGTGGGTTCCCCAAGAAACAGGGTTCCTAGGATACATCTTTGCGAAATTTTGAAGAAGGCGGCACCTTGGGCACCAGTGTCCAATGAACCGGCCATATGTTTGAGAAACCCCCAATGTAGCGGGAGAGCTGGTGTCTTGCAGGCCGAAAGAAACGGATTCCGCATCCGAGGCGAGAAGCTCTCCAAGACCGGGGAGGAGTACGGCCCTGAAGCCAAGAGCTGCGACAGCGCCGACACCATCAACGCGCGACGCCCAACGTCGAGACTTTTTCCTCGGACTTCGGACTCTGAAGGTCGATGCTCTGCGTGTTTTTCTGTAAGAGGTTCTAGAAGAGGCGATTGCCCTTCAACAAAACGGCGCAAACAAGCATGACAAGTGACCCCAACTGCAAATGGGTTGCCTCAAAATGAGGATTGTTTGCCCCAACAAAATGGTTGGTTTCTTTTTCGTTTCTCTTTAAGCATACATTACGGAGCCCTTCGAGGTTTGTTTTGGAAGCTTGAGCTGGCCATTTTTCTCTGGGAAAAAACAAACTGTGTTCAAGGACACCAACCCTTTTTTTTGTGTCGGGGGGGATTTTGGGGTCCCGTATTTTGAGACAAGCCCATGTTGTTTTCAAGAGGGTGGCCCCTATGTCGCGAGTGGAATCACCGGCTAGGAGGTTGGAAAGGGATTTGACAGGAACAGTGGGAGATTGGTGTGACGCTTTTGTGTTTAGCAAGTTTGAATAAACTGGATTGGGCCTCAGATATAGACGGGTGGTCTACACCATGTGCAGATTCTTCATTGTTTCTAAGGCAACAAATTGACCCCGGGACCGCCTTCAAAAAGAGACGCAGACTGATTTTCGACGCAGGGCGGGATTCCGTTTCAAAAGGCCTTCGCAAGACCTTTTGGTGCCCAATTCTGAGAGAACCCCCCCCCCCCCTGGAACAACTATGTACGTGGGGAATGAATTGTATATTCTTCCTGGTAAACATAGCCAACTTCCCCAGATTGATTCAGTTTTTATGACGAATTGTATCATTGTAATTTGTATTCCACGTTGAATCCTGGGGTTTTCCCGTTTCCTCGTTTCCCCGACCGTTCGAAGAAGTTCGCCAGGTCCTTAAGGCCTTGGCCAATGGGATGCCCGCGCCCCAGACGCGGCGTCCGGCGGGGGGGGGAGGGGGCTTTTGTTGATGTGTCACCTAAAAGATGGGTTTAAACAGCACGTGTTTGGGAAGGCCGGCTTTTTGGTGAGGTTCTTGTTGGCAGTTTCGAAGTGTGAAATATAGGCTTCCTGCGTGTGGAAACTCTGCTGGGTGTCAATGGCGATCAGCTTGGCTGTTTTGGCTGCCCCAAAGCGAAAGGCAACCAAGGACTGACTGTGTGTTTTACTCATATTGCACACGAGAAGCGATTTTTTAAAGGAGTGAAAGTGTGCACAGTGCAGACGTGTCCATGCTTGCGCTCTCTCTTTGTCTCCTTGTCTCTCTCTCGCTCGCTCTCTCTCTCTCTCTTACTCTCTGTTTCTGTCTTCCCTTCCTTTTCTGTTCTTCTGTTTTCTTGTTCTTTCTTGCCGTTCTTTGCTTCTGTCTTCCTTCTTTCTTTTTGTTTCTTTCCTTCTTTCTTACTTTATTTTTGTCCTTCTTTATTTATTGATTTCCTTCCTTCCTTCTTTCTTTCCTTCCTTCCTTCCTTCTCTAGGTTTTTCGTTGCTTTTCTGTTTTCAGTTTCTATTTATGCTCTTTAGGTTCCTCTATTTGCTTAGTTGTTCTCCTTTATTATATCAGTTATTGTCTCTTTCTTTCTTAGTTGTTTTCTTAGTTCTTGCCCTTTCCATTCCTTTTGTTTATGTCTTTTTTTCTTCTTTATTCCCTCCTTCCTTCCCTCCCTCCTTCCTTCCTTCCTTCCTTCTTTCCTTCCTTCGTTCCTTCCTTACGTCCTTCCTTCCTTACGTCCTTCCTTCCTTACGTCCTTCCTTCCTTACGTCCTTCCTTCTTTGCTGGCCTGTTTTCTCTCTCTCCCTCACTATCGTTTTCTCTCTTTCTCTTCTGCCAGCCTGGCCAAAGGTTCCACCATTGCAATGCCTGGTGCCTCTTCGACTTTGATCAGCCAGACAAGGCTCGGAACGACTGCAGCTCGGCGAGTGTGGTTTCGGATTCTGGGCACATAGCAAGCTCACTTCGGGGGTAAAACGAGCGGCACTCCATGAGGAAGGTCCTTTGTCTACCATCCCCTACTGTCCTTTGCTCCCCTTTCTTGGGGATTTCTCTTTTGTCCAATTTGCGAATTGTATCAATTTGAGAAGATTGGATTGGATATGTGTTGTTCCAAAGTGCGGCGTCATCCCAGAGCAAATAGAATGTTCAAGCGTGTTCTCTGTCAAAGCGCAAGAGTGTTCCAAGAGGAAAACAATCCTAGGGCTTCGCCATCACCAGCTGCGCTGGTTGGCTGCAGGGCCAACGTCTCCCACTCAGCACCCACCCACCCACCCACGCACCCATGCAGCATCAAGGGTGTTGTCTTTGGGTTGGGCAAGAGTTGAGGTGGGCCCACGCCCAGTTGACCACCACTCCCCCGCAAACTGTAAACTCCCTTGCAACTTGGGGTAGTCATTTATATATACCCCCCAAATGGGGTTGTCTCGCAATGGGTTGTTTCCTTTTGAGTTTCCTTTAAAACCAAGCAAAACGGGTGCCTTCAAAAAAGACAGACCCATGTTTCTCCTGCAGCCCGCCAGGTTGCCTACGGCTGGAACCCCAAGAACACGTGCTGGCAGAAATCAGGTGGGGCCGCGCTGCGGGTCAGGGGATGCTGGCAACTTGCGGGACACATTTTGTTGCAGACGGGAGGGTCTGCCTTTTTTGGTTTTCCGGAAGGATAACGGATGCTATCATTTGGATGTGTAGCTCATGTCCTTAGTATCATTTCTTTCAATTGACTTTTTTTGTTGTGCTATTTCAGCATGTGTTGATTACAAAGTTTATTTGTTTCATTTGGTGTTCATGTAGTTGAGCGTTAACGTACTGGTTGGTTTCAATTTCATTGCGTTTCGTTTCATGTGCATGTCGATATTATAAGTCATTCATGTTCATCTCAACTTGCCTGATCTCATTCAGTTGTTTGGCTTTATGTTCATGTTTTCTTCATTTCCTTTGCTCCAATTGGTTGAAAGTATTTTTTAGATGCGTCCATTGATTTGAACACACGCTCGGTCCCCTCGTTCATTGTTTGTCTTATTCAGTGATTCCCTCACTCGTTTGTTCATTCACTCGTTTGTTCATGAGCCTGCACGTTGGTTTTATTAGTTGAGCTCGCTTCTTGCATTTGTTTTAATCATGCGTTCTGAACAGACTATCAAACGCTGCATTTATTGACAAACTTAGTCTAGTGTTTGGTTTGTCTTTTGAATGTATTTAACTGTTTGTTTGCTCCTGGTCCATGTTCTATTTTGTTTGAGTGTATTGGCTTATGTCTGTATCTTTTCCGGTCTTCTTTAATTAGCTACTATTCATGTAGTTGCTGAACTATGTATTGATTTGAATAGTCGTATATTTGCGGATTTGTGTGTTTGTTCATGCTTTTAGATGTTGTTTGTATATGTAGACAGGTATATTAGTTGTGGTTCTTTTTGTTTGCTTGCAAAGTTGCTAATTCATTATTTGTTTGATTTGTGCAATCATTTGCTCACTTAACACCGGTCATTTCAATAGCATGAACTCATCGACGTGATCATTTGACTTCCCTTGATAAGACGCTGCGCGGATGGAGCAGCGGCTTAGGTTGTTTGACTTGCATAAGCAAAATTACGGCAATGAAATTGAGCTTCACGAAGATTCAATACACGAAGATATATTGCTTTATACACATTGATCTTGTGTTTAGTTATGTTCTGTTCTTGCATAAGTGTTTGAATTTTGAAGTGCATTGGTATGTTGTCCCCCGAGTCATGTGTTATGGATTGCTACAATGAAACGTACATTCATGAAACGCAAAAGACACAGCTTAAATGAACCCGCGAAGGAGAAGCGACTCACACATGGCAAAGTGACCCAAAATAAGACACTGTGAATTACTCCAAATCCTTGCGGAGGAGGGGGGGGTGCGGCAAATGTACCAAGGAGGTGCCTCGCACATATGAGTAGATATATATGGTCACCCCCCCCCCCCCAGGCCTACCTTTCCTCTCTTTCTAGTTGAAGGTGTCAAATCTACTCCGTGTGCCTCGTTCTTGCAGATGCCTGAAAACACTGTAAAATAGACTGTTCTGGCGGGGGTGGGTGGGCTAGGTATACATATATCACCTCTATGTGCATAAACCATTGTGACCTTCGCACGACCCAGGAAAAGCCAAGGGGCTTTCGCGAAGGGGTGGCCTGTGGAAGCTTGTAAATCCCATCGTGAGTGCTACTAAGGATTCGAATGCTCAAAGCTGATACCATAGCGACATAGAAAGGAGTTCTACATCTGGCATCGCAGATTTCGGGCCAGCCACTTGCCTTCCTTTCGGGAGAGGCCTCGGTCCATCTATATTTTACAGGGCACAGATAAAACGGGCGGCCGTTTTCCACTTTCGAGCCTTTACGCGACGCAAACCCAAAATGTGGCCGGCCAGATCACTGCGGGCCTCAAGTGGAGCGAGACTTCGCAGTGCAGCGGAAGTCGAAGCTCTGCAAGGCGCGCCGGCTGTCCGCCGGGCTGGCCGAAAGGAACCCGAGACAGGCCTTCCAGCGGTACGGAAAACCTTGCCCGTGATTGTTTGAATTTGGAGCAGGTGGTTCTACGTACTACTTGGTTGAATTGAAAGTTATCATAAGGTCTACATACACCTTTATCAATTTATCAACATGTCGGTAGAGCCAAGCCTCAAAGGGTTTTGGGCACTGCCCACTTTGAATCATCCACCAAGAGTCGATGCCAAAGCCAATGTATTGGTGGAGTGATCGAAAGGAGAGGTCGCCCAACACAACTCCTGCAAGGCTCTGCACCGGCTTTTCCATTTTGGGAACAAAGCGGATGTGTTCCGATGGATTTCGGGGTTGCCCAAAGGATATGGGGTTTCCGCAAGGGACCAACCCCAAGGCCCTTTGGCAGCCGAGAAAAAGGACACACGCTGTCCACCAAACTCAAGGGGTGTGCGGGTGTCCTTCTTTCAAGGGTACATTTTGTTGCTGGTTTTACAGGGAAATCATAGGGAAACACCGCCTATCAGATCTTCAATTTCTCACGGCGACTCTTGGTTCGCATGGCGATATCGCCGGGGATGCAGGGGGTCCAGTATCAAGCCAAGTGCAGGCGTGAGTCTGAGATGCTTTCAGGAGAAGACTGCTGCAGCTGTTTTGCATCGCTACGAGCACAGGAAAGAGATGAGTAGGGCCGAGCTAAGAGCCTGCGCATGCAACGAGTCCCCACTGACAGACACATCACGGTGGGTCTGCATGGCTTCTTCTTTTGAGAGTACTGCAAGCCAGGAAGCCACGTGCGCGCTCGTCTGACGACTGCTGGGTCCGCATTCTGATTCTTTTGCTCAAGTACCTTAAAAGAGTGGGTGACGATGCCGGGGCACATTAGCCAACACGTCGCTGGCGAAAGAATCACCCCTGAACAGCCACGTGCCTTTTGTGGAAAAGAGGCACGCGGGATCCAAGGCGAAGCGCCTTGAGAGTTGCTTTCAGGGAAAGCTGAGCCAGATTGGCCAACAGATTTTCCGATTCTCGCGAAAGAGTTGCATTCGGAGTTGGCGCGCAGCTCCCGATCAAGCGGATGAGGTTGTGGATGAAGCGGTGGTTGGGGCCTTGGCCGTCCGCCTCAGGAAAGCCACAGCTGGAAGAACAGGCCGCTCGAGAGCCAGGAGTCCTACAGTGGATGGTTGCGAAATCCATTCCATTTCGCGCAGCTTTGAAGCCATGGTTGAAACCATAGCGTTTGTTGGTATTTGCAGGGGAGTCGCCTGATTCCAGGGTTTCTTAGGTGGTGCCGGATTTCGTCCATGAACAGGAAGTTGAGGAAGTGGTCACTGCGTGGCTGCCTTGTCTCCGCGTTCCAAGGACTTGCAGCCTGGACTGCTCAAACTCGGATTTGACGGACCCGCTTCTGGCCCGTTCTTTTGCACTGGTTCCAGTTGCAGGTCAGATGTGCCAAAGCCAAACCACGCACTGCGTCCAGTGCGCAGCTTGAGAATAGAAATCGAAGCCAAGCAGCAGTGGCTGAGAACGATGCGCGTACTGTGAGCAGGAAGGGAAAGAAGCGCAGTTACAGTTAGACCAGACCTTGCCCATCTTTTTTCTATAAAAAAACCTAGGGTCCTCCCCACACTTTTAGCAACATTTTAAAACAGCACCTCAAACAGCACATTTTCAAAAATTAACATTTTAAAGCAGGTAATTTCCTAGTAAGTTCATCCATATTTTAAAATATAAATTTTAAAAAATAAATTTTAAAAAAAGAAATTTTAAAAAATAAATTTTAAAAAATAAATTTTACAAAATTTTAAAAAATAAATTTTCAAAAAAATATAAATTTTAAAAAATAATTTTTAAAAAAAACAAATTTTTAAAAAAAATTAAAAAAAATAAATTTTACAAAAAAAATAAAAAATAAATTTTCAATAAAATATTATTCCAAAAAATATGATAAATTATTTTACAATAAATTTTATCACAAATTTTGTAGACATATTATGGGCAAGGTCTGGTTCATTCGTTTTTTACGGGCACCATTCTTTCTTAATTCTTTCTATTATTTTATCACACGTTGCTTCATTATAAATATTACTTCCTATTTGTTTTCTAAACATTCCCATTATTCCAATTGCACGTGTTATTGTATATCTAAGTTCGTGAGTTTTATACTCATCATTTAAAAACTCATTTAAAAAATCAAACAATATAACATATTTTAAACGTTTAATATTAAAAGAAACGTTATATATATTTTTTTTTACCATACTATAATACTTAAAAATAAAATCATTATTATATCCTTCGTCATCACACTCAGTTAGTAAATTATCAAACCCTTCTATAGTTAAGAAATTATTCATTACAATAAACACAAATATTTCTAAATCATCATCAATAGTTTCATTATTTCTAATATCAATATCTTTGTTATTCATATCATCAATTTTGTTTATAATTCTATTACAATTATTGCATATCATATATTGACAAATATAATTACAAACGCCATTTGTAAAACCCTGTTCAACTGGTAATTTTAGCATTTCGCAGTCTTCACATTTATAACTCATAAACTTTTTTTCAATATATTTTTAGCATCGTGGACTGTATCACTCATCAAACTATATAATAGTATTATAAAATATTTCTTTAAATACTTTTTACAAGAATTTTAATTTAAAATTAAATTTCATTAAGAAATTAAAATTAAATTAGGATATGTAGATAAAATTTCATAATTTAAGTTCAGGATAATAATTTAATTGATGACTACTAAGTTGTATATATAACTTATGTCTTTCATGCATTATTTTTAAAATAATATTAATATCTCTCACTGTATTTTTAACATTAAACTTTTTACTTTCAATATATGTTTTAATGTCTTCTTTTACATCAAAACCTTCCCTACTATAATAGGTCAACATCCATAATATACCTTCAATCATTTTATATTTTTCCTTACTGATTTTTAGAAATATTCTAACATAACTATAAGGTGGTCTTCCGTACACAGTTAAAAATATTAAAATGTCATCTTCAACATTTCTTTTATCTATTTTTTTAATCTCCAAAATATTTTCTATTATATTTTGATATCGTCGCCATCTTCTACAAGTTCTACATACATCTTCTTCGCCCAATGCATAATCAATAATATTATTCACTATTCCGTTATGTAAATTCAGTTTATACAATTCTATATTTTCCTTTTTGAAGTGGCAACAATCATAGCATTTTTTATTGATATAACTATTGATTTTGGTTTTCATCATCTCGCTATATAATATATTTAGGTAATATTTCTTTAAATACTTTTTACAAGAAATTTAATTTGAAATTAAAATTAAATTAATAAATTAAAATTAAAATTATATTATCATAATTAAATTAAAAATTATAATCATTTACAACTACAATTACATAATTTACAAAATGGGATGATATTTTCTATTGTATGAGTTAATTCATTATCCTTTCGTTGTGCTGTTAGATTTGTAATGATATTACCATTTTTCATATCAATAGTAAAACCACATCCGCAGTAATTACATTGATTATTTATATTATCTAGAAACCATTGAGTATTTACATAACCTTCTCTAGGTATGCTTCTTTTTGCTTTCCTGTCTTGTTCCTTATAATTCAAAATGTTCCTTTCAAAATAACTCATAATACATTTTTGATTAAATACATCATCAACATCCTTTGTATATTTATAAAATTTGACTTTGTTTAAATCACGAGCACGTGTTACCGCTGTAAAAATCCATTCTGGATAATTCTTTACCAAAAAATGATTATAATCAAAAATTGTTATGGTGTCATCAATGCTACTACCTTGAGTAGAATGACATGTAGAGCAAGAAGAAAATATAAAATTGCTTCTTATTTTAGCAATTTCTACGGATTGTAAAATTTCGGTTTTTACATTTTTTAATGTAAATATTCCATCACTTCCAATATGAACTATTTTATATTTGAAATTTACATTAAAAACTGATGTTTTAGTTTTAGTATATTCTCTACAAATTAAAAATTCTCCTACTTCATATTCATCTTTTCTATTTTCTAATTTTCTAATTTCATTTGATACATTTTTACAAGTTGTATTCAAAAATGCTATGTTGTTTTTGGAACTACTTATGTCTGTGGTGTATTCAAAATATTTTTCAATAATAGTTTTAATTGGTAATTTATTAATAAAAATATCATATTTTATATTCTTGAGTTTATCCTTATCTTCCTGTGTGTTAAGTCTCTTACATTCTTTCAATATTATATTATGTGTAAAAATATTATCTATAATATTGTCAGTGTATAATTCATAGTCTTGAGTATTTGTTATTTCTTGCACTGGTTTTAATTGCTTGGTGTCTCCTGTTGCTATTATAATTTTGTTGTGCTTATTCTGTTCTACAAATTGTTTTATTCTCCAGTATATATTTAAATTACTAAAATAGATTTCATCAAATACTATTACATCAAATTCTGTAAAATCAAATGGTTCTAATTTAGCATCTCCATAATTAATACCAAATAATTTATTTATCGTCATTGCTTCTCCTTCAAATGCCTGTAATAGTTTATTAGTAGGACAAATAAAAATTACCTTATAATTTTTATCAACCATTTTTTGACATATATATGATTTTCCTGTGCCCGGTAGTTCACCTCTGATCATAATAGGATTATTCTGTTTAACAATCTCTATAATGTTATCAGTGTCGTATTCATCTTTAATATCAATAGTTTTACTTTCATAAACTGGTATTTTTATTAATTCATTATTTACAACGTTAAATTTTACTGTAGGTAAATTAATTTCGTCTCTCTGCTTTGAAACTTTCCAACCTCCTATATCATCATGAAATTCTAATAATTGCTTTGTTTTTTCTTCATTGCATGTATCAATTACAAAAGCATCTGTTTTTACACTATATATATTAATATTATTAGTTATTAGTGTCTTAAAGTCTTGGTTCATTTTAAAAT